TCAGGCAGGGGACATTCCCAGTTCTACCTGGAGATGGTGAGGATTTAACCTGGGGCCTTCTGAATGCAAAGCACAATGCTCTGCATCTACCAGACAAAGAGATACATAGGAAAAAGTAAATGTTCACTTCTTGCTAAAATTGGAAGACTGTATACCTGCTTATTCTTTGGGTGGACCGCTTCCAAGGTCCCAGTGGAAAAGTACTTTAAGCAGCTAGTTAGCCTGAAATGGCATTTTAAAATATGAATTCAGCCCTTCAGAAACAGTATCTCAGGGGCTATCCTGCTCTAACCGCATTTGTGCAAATGCACTCTGGATTTGGGAATGGATAAATTGCTGGCAGGGAGGTGAGGGGCAGGATACCTTCCTGTTTTCTTACTTCTCTTTCCAGCTGTGCAGTCCTTAACTTTGTTTGTGTTGTGGTTATCGGTGACTCATAGCTCCAATAGTTACAGCATTATCCTCTTCAAAAGCACTGCACGTCTGTGGATTCCACCGTGCAGCAATAACAGCTTACCCGCCTGACAGGTGATGGAGATGTGAGGGAGATCTGATGGCTTGTAAATCCAGTCTGGCTTGTCTCTCTGGCTCTCTGTAAAATAGGGTGCCTCTTTCCCTCCTGCTGGCCTCCCAGGCTACCATATTTCAGCAGAAAGGTTTCCTTGAAGAGATTCCCTGTACATCTCAGCCATATCCCATGCTAATCCTTGTTAACATTCCTGCGGCAACTGGAACAAATGCAAATCAAGCAAAATACTATGAGGCAAGGTGTTAGAATATTTTGGGTTGGCACCCCAGGACAATTTCATCTATCCATCTGTACACACACACACACACACACCCTTCCTTACCAGCAGCCCAGGACATATCAGTCCTAAGCAACTCAGAGAAAGACACTAAATCTGGGGTATGAGAAAGGTTTTTCGGCACAACTACATTTCAGTTGATTTTTTCAATGGTTTTTTTCAGACCCAGACTAAGTAATGCTAAAACTAGCCCCAGTGAGATTAATGGAACTTAAGTTGGTCACTCACAACTGAGTTCATTATTGATTTTGGTGGCCTGCTTTAACCATGACTAAGCCCAAACCAATGAAACTAGTCTGTCAGAGGGAGATCTGCACACAGCTGTCACAGATTCTGCTGTATTGTTGGATCAGTGCTTGCAAAAATCACTGCCTATTGAGAAATGGCACATTCAAGCCGCTCCCATGTCCACCAAATTCACATTCAAGCAAAATTGTCATTGAACTGTGTCTCGTATATTTCTGTCTGCTTCAGGTGTCTAACTTTAGATGTGTTCCCATTGGCAGAAACCCTACGTCTGTAAAATTCCAGGCTGCACAAAGAGGTACACAGACCCCAGTTCCCTCAGGAAACACGTGAAGACTGTGCACGGGCCAGAGGCCCATGTCACCAAGAAACAACGCAATGACGTTCACCTGAGACCACCTGCACTGAAGGAAAATAGCGACAATGAAGCAAGTGCCAAGCAGAGCGGAAAGGCTTCAGACGAGCAGGCTGAGGCAAACAGCACCACCAGAGGCATGGAGGACTGCTTACAAGTCAAAACAATAAAGACGGAGAACTCTGTGGTAAGAGATGCACTTGCTTTGAATTGCTGGTGATGTCATTTAATGTGCCAAGTGGCAAATGAAGTTGCCCAATTTTCCCTACCACCACCTTTTCAAATCTCCCAGCTCAGATTTCACTAAGGCCCACCTACGATCCTATGCATATTTTCTTCTGTATGTAAAATATTCCAAAGGGTTGCAGCAATGTTGCAATGTTAATGAAGGCATTAACTGCTGTAAGCATTTAGAAAAGCATTCTCTCACACTCTCTCTCCAGCTGGGTTTTAACTTTTGACAACAGAATTCATTCAAGATATGCCTACACTTCCTTTTTTCGTAAATCAGAGCTTGCTCTTAATAGACGGCACTCTCAATACCTTGCATTCAAGCAAAATATACCATGCCCAAAACATCTTTGTGATATGACCTCTTGCACTCTGTAAAGTGCTGTGCACACTGATGATGCAATAGAAATAATAATTAACTATGTCTACGTATTGTATTTTAAGAGGCCAAACGTTCATTTACCTGTGTTGTGGATGTTGCTTATCTGCCATTATTTTTTGGTTCTCTCCATTGCTCCATCCGTACCCTTGGCCCTTTCCTTTTGTGCTGTCTGTGTTCTAACAACCTGTTCTTTCTCCTCTCTTAACTTTCTCTACTCTACTTCACAAGGACAGTCGGTATTAAGGTGAGCAAATACACTGTCTTTGTCATAGTCTCTGTACAAAAGACATAAAATGTGCATATCTGTCCAGGTGCCAAAGTAGAATGTGTGGGTGAAATAGCCATGGTCCATATTTCTTTCTACTTCATCCTTTCCATATTGGCATTTCACTAATTACTCCTTTTTATGGCTTACTTTCAATTGAGGGGGGCAGGGTTAGGATAAAGCACAGGCTGGAGCCAAATTTATCCAGGCACAAGGCAAAGCTGATCCGTTTAATATTCCAAGCAGTGGCAGCAATTATTAAATAAGACTTGTGTCACACCATTAGCCTGTGTTGCAAACATAGCTGTTCTAGTGTACTGCTGTGGCATTACAGGTCATAGATTTCATGCATGATGACAGTCCTATGCTGTTGTGCCTGTTTCAGAGTTTACTTTGCTACAGATGGCATTGCCAACATCTCCTGGTTGGCATCTCACCACTTCTTTAGTCAATGTGGGGCTCTATGGAGCCCTGTGACCTTCCCTTTTCACAGCAAATCTATTGTTCTTAGGTGGGCAATGGAAAGAACTGTCCACCCACTCACCCTGCTGTATTTTGTAGAACTGAGATGTTGTGAAAAAGAAGGAAACCTTTAAACCAAGTGTCATCTGGCATTCCAGCTCTACAGCCATCTAGGATCAGCAATCGTAAATCATCATTCCATAGCCTGGACAGCAAAGAGCCTTTCCTTTGAGCCAGCAGAAAACATTTAACCTTTATTGCAAATAAATTACTTAATGTGAAATATACCTCCTAATAAAAAAAACATTTACCAAACCTAAGCCTGCAAATCATGCCCTTATCTGTCTATAAAGACTGTCGGACAAGCATGTAAGGGTCCTTTGAACCACGAGTCATGCACTGTGCCTGAAGCTTTTTGGGCTTGATTCTGCTGCAGACAAACAGGCACACTATAGAGTTTGTGGAGCGGGGAAGATCTTCTAATATTCCAGGTTTATCTCAGAAAAGCATCAAGAGCTTAAGTTTCTTGAATGAGCACATACAGTTCTTCCAAGTTAACAGAAAAGAAAATCCACCCTCAGGGCTTTTAGCTCCCTGATGTTTACATACCCGTGCTTGAAAAAGGCATAAAAATTAGCTTAATCACTTATCTTATGGAAAACCTGTGTCCACACTACATTGCCATCACACTTGTGGGCAATAATGAACACATTGGCTTTATCACCTAATGAGGATTTGTTTATACAGAAAACAGACCTGGCTTAGTTAAGTTTGATTGAAGCCTGGGGCTGGGGTGACTGCTTGGTATGGCTTTTAATGTACAAAATTCCAGTGATGCAAGATAGACACTAAAAAGTTCTACAACTGTTTCAAAACTGATGATTGCTAAGTTAAACATTACCATGAGTATCCTGTTTTGTAGTACTAGTTGTATAAATAAATACAGTACAAAAGATACTGTAATGAATAATACACATTTTAAGTATATGCCAATCCACAAAGCCCTTTGTATAGGCCAAGTGGTGAAAACAGGTTACTCAGCTAAAATAACCAGTCCCAATTCATTCAGTCGTGGGGAGCCTGAGCAACAACAAAAATAAAACAAATTTTCACAATGAAATTATGCTCTTTAAAAAATAAAATAAATGCAGGATTAAGTTGTACAAGTTTGCCTTTTAAACGGTTTGTTTTCATAAATCCCCCCAAGTGCCTCTTATTTTTAAGTACTTTTTGGTGCTATTCATTTCAACGCTATTTTTCTTATTCGTATTTGAGTAATTTTGTCTCACTGGAGGGAGACTGGAATATTACATTATGAAGGTTATGAAGGTCTTTTATGTTTCTTCCTGTAATATTGATTCACTATTATCATTATCATCAGAAGCTGCTTTAGATGGGTTCTGCCCCCCAAAAGCACCATATAAATATTTTAAAATAAATATTTTTTGCCCTTTCTGTGATCTAATCCAATAGGTTTTGTTAACACTTGTGGTTTTTGCCAGCAACATTGCAAGATCACATCTGATGTGATGATGTCATGGACACCTCTAAACAAAACCATGCTGGTCACCATGGCTAATCGGAGTAACGATGTGGGCAGAATATGGCAGAAGGCAGGGGTGAAAAGGAAGAGAATGCTACAATGGTGCAGAGAAGGAGGAGCAACCACAGGAAGGAAAGGGTGGTGGAACAACGGAAGTTTTCAGCAAGCTTATGCATTTTTTCTAGTAATTTGCTTGCCTTGTCTTGATCCTTCTAGTTTTGTGGATGTGAACTGTGAAATGAGAAAATTTGGTGCAGCCGTAATAGATGTTAGCAAAGCAAAGCTGATACTGGGGAAGAACCACCACATTGATGCAAACCTCCTCCTCTTTCTTTGTTTTCTCTAAGATGTATCAGTCCAGTCCTGGTGGCCAATCCTCATGCAGCAGTGAACCATCACCACTTGGGAGCACCAACAACAATGACAGTGGAGTCGAAATGAACATGCACAGTGGGGGAAGTCTGGGGGACCTGACCGCGTTGGAGGATGGCACTCCTGTTGTAGACTCGACGGTCTCATCTGGCAATTCAACCGTCAGTCTGCAGCTGAGGAAACAAATGACAACCATGCAACGCCTTGAGCAGCTCAAGAAAGAGAAACTCAGGACAGTGAAGGATTCTTGCTCGTGGGTGAACCCGGCCCCACAAGTCAGAAATACCAAGCTGCCTCCCATCCCAGGCAATGGTAAGTCTGGCCACTGGTTGAGATCTGTCCATAAGCATTAACTCAGCTCTGTTGGTTAAAGCATGGTGCTGATAACTCCAAGGTTGCAGGTTCAATCCCTGTATGGGACAGCTGCATATTCCTGCATTGCAAGGGGTTGGATTAGATGATCCTTAGGGTCCCTTCCAACTCTACAATTCTATGATCTCACAGCTTACCTTGCTCGTGTTTCAAGGGCCTGCCATTATCATCCCCTGCATTTCCTCCTCCCCACTTTAAAACAAATACAAGGGTTGAGCTGGGATCCAAACCCAAACATAGAACATGCAAACAGACTTCCATTAGTTTGCTGAACTCTCCAACTCAGATATCATATTGCAAGGTGGTTGTATGCACTTCCTTGTCTCCCTGACAAACTGCTGCTGAACCTGACACTGCCTTACTACAAGAAGGCTCTTGCCTTCCCAGGCAAATTTCCTTCCTCTTGCTCTCAGTTTTTTCTCCTAGAGTACCCTGGGCTCAGAGGGGAAATCTAAATGATCTATGAGGAACTGTTTCTTTCACCATGAAAATGGCATTGTTACATTTTTGTGGCGTATATTTACAAACTCGGTAAGTGTGGAGTCCCAGGAGTATGCTAAGTCAATAGGAAAGACTGGACGTGGGAGGTCCAGTTGAATAGCACTGCATTATAATCATCTCTGGGTAGGAAGTGACTCCTCTTTGTAAATCTTTGAAATCATTCTTCATAGCTGATTGATGGTACTTGTTTAAAGGAAGCTGTGCCCATCATATTTTTCATTCTGACACAGTATAGCCCTAAGACATTCTCTCATAGCTCTTTCGGTGGTAATTTAATGTGTGACTCTGCAACAGTCACTGTATTGCTTTTTGATGCCCAGCTCCCTGTTCTCCTTTGCAATCTACACTTCCTTTTGCTGGGGAGAGACACTTGTTTCCCTCCCCACCCCCTTTCCAAGAGCTAAAGCTGATATGACAGAGTCATCCTATGTGCATTATCACAGATCAAGCCTATTTGCTAGCACTTCAAAAACCTGCAAAACCTGTTTGACCAGACTTGGCAGCCAAGCAAAGGATATGTGTGTGTACAGCAATGGGCAACAGTGGCTCTGTCACACCATCTTCAGATGTTTTCAATACTATTTGCTGTCCCCAGCACATGGTAAGCAACCCTGATAACAGCCTGAATATGTTGCACGTGGTAGATGCTTGGTAATATGGGGAAACGGGGAGGTAAGATGAGTTCAAGTAACGAAGTACTAGCAACCAAGTTGCCCTCTCCACTATCATCACTGAATAACAAGCCTCTTTTCTCTACCACTCTCCACCAGGCTGTCTACTGGACAACATGGGGGGTGGTGGTTCTTCTGCAGCGCTGCCTAACCCAAGGATAACAGACCTGTCCATCAACGAGGTCACAATGCTGAACCAACTAGCAGAACGTCGCGACAGCTCAACCAGCACCATCAGCTCTGCCTACACCGTCAGCCGCAGGTCATCAGGGATATCCCCTTACTTCTCCAGCCGCCGTTCCAGTGAAGCGTCACAGTTTGGAACCCGGCCAAACAACACAAGCTCTGCTGACTCCTACGACCCCATTTCCACGGATGCCTCTCGCAGATCGAGCGACGCCAGCCAGTGCAGCGGAATCCCAGGTCTTCTGAACCTCACACCGGTGCAGCACTACAGGCTGAAAGCCAAGTACGCGGCTGCCACAGGGGGCCCTCCACCCACCCCCCTGCCTAACATGGAAAGGATGACCCTGAGGAATAAAATTTCCCTTCTGGATGGGCCAGAGCCTGCTCTGCCTTCTTTTCGCCTTCCTCCTGGGCCACGGCGTTGCAGTGACAGCAACGCTTATGGGTATGGTGCATCCCTGGGATTTGCTCACGATGGGCCTGGCAACAATGCAAGACGCGCAAGTGATCCGGTGAGGAGACCTGCTGGAGAGCCAGTTTCCCTCCCTAGAGTCCATCGTTTCAACAGCACCAACAGTATGAACCCACTCCACCCTCCTGCAGACAGAAGGAACTTCGGCCTTCCAAACTTTGCACGTTCCGACGGAAGCCTTGCCAGGCACATCTATTCCCCACGGCCTCCGAGTATCACCGAGCACGTTGCCATGGAAGCGATGTCTGGCGAGGCCGATGGCTCCGTCGGAGATGATGACATTGTGCTACCTGATGACGTAGTGCAATACATCAAATCGCAAAACGGTGTCATGGCCGCAGACAACTCTTCCACAGCCTATGGCAATGAAATGCAGAACTTCCAAGTGAATGCAAAAGTGCAACACAGCAACCTGGGAAGCCAACTCAGCAGGGTGGCTGCTCCAGATGTGGGTATGAATCACGCAGCTCCAGTGATGAGTGAGTGTCACATGAACTTTGGAGCAGATTCTGACTTGAGCAAGAACAACATGCCTGTCCAGTGGAATGAAGTCAGCTCAGGTACGGTGGACACATCCTCTGCTCAAGCAAAGCAGCAGTTCCCTCCACGTAACTTAGCTGTGGTTCATCAAAAGCACAATTTTGGCCAGTATCAGAACTTCAGCCATCAGCAGATGCAGGTGGGTCAAAACAACATGAATGGAAACCTGCAACAGTTTGTGCAGAAAAACACAAGCATAGATGGACAAAGGTTAAACTGCATGCACTTAAGGCAGCAACAGGTGAATCCGGGACCCAGTAACAATCCAGATTTGAACTCACATGAAGCATACCATCAGGTTCATCAAATGCTGAGCCCAAACACAATGGGGGGTGACCTCCACCAGCTTTCTCCTCCCTGTAACAACATGATATTGAAGCCTGCATCCCATGCTCATCCTCAGCAGATAGATATTATGGCTGATCCCACTTCAATGGTTGACAGTAGCAGAGAATGCATAATGCACAGTCAGGTCACACAGGAACCAGGACATCAGCAGGGCTTTTCGTCTCAGCCAAATCACATGAACTTTCCCATGACACAGGAGGTCTTCCATCAACCTTCTGCATTAATGACCTCCAGTCAGCAAGACTTTGAGCCACAACAGGATATGATAGGTACCGTTGCACAGAGCTTCCCTTCTGGTCTAGTTCAGCCTCATCCTCCACCTAATCCCAGTCCAGCAAACAGGCACCGAGGGATGTGTGCTATGCAACACTTGGGCTACATGAGAATATCTCACCCAGCCAATGATGTGAGCCCAGGGCAGGAAAGGGTAGAGTTCACCCCCAAGAGAACAACTGGTGTAGCATCATCACAGCCACAGCAATACAACAACAGCATGGGGGGAAACCATTTGATGCACTATTATGGCCAAATACACATGTATGAACAAAATGGGAATTTTAATACCCATGCAGACTGTAGTGTAAGACAACAGCAGTGTGCACTGAACATCAAGCCAGCCACAATGCCATCTCCTGGGGCTAATCAAGTATCAAGCACTGTGGACTCACAGGTTCTGGAGCCGCCTCAGATAGATTTTGATGCCATCATGGACGATGGGGACCATTCAAGTCTGATGTCAGGGACCCTGAGCCCTAGCATCCTACAGAATCTCTCCCAGAACTCTTCCCGCCTTACAACTCCCCGGAACTCTCTGACACTGCCATCCATACCAGCTGGAATTAGTAATATGGCAATAGGGGACATGAGCTCTATGTTGACAACCCTAGCAGAAGAAAGTAAATTTCTGAACATGATGTCTTAACGCTTAAAGCATAACTGTCTAGAAGTATCCAAGAGATTACATGCTAAGCAATTTTATGATTCTTTTTTAAAAAAATAAAAAACAGGTTTCCATAGAGTAGACCTTTTCTTTTTTACAAGTATTAAATACATTAAAGGGATTCCAAACACAGGGAAAACGTCTTTGTACAAACATGTATAAACCTCATAAAAGAAGTACTGAAAGGGTGCGCCTCTTGCATTATTTTTGTGCTTGTTTTTCAAAAACATTTATCTAAAGTGTCCATCTTTGTAAAACAATGGCACATCTGGCATCATTTTTAAAAAATCTGACCATCACTTCCACTATTTTCCCTTGTCATAGGCTGAAAGTCTCATAGGTTGCAATCCAATGTAGCAAGCCATGCTCAGCTTACTTCTGAGTAGACATCTACTAGGATTGCTTCAGTAGTTTCTCAACCCTTCAGCTACAGGAAAAAAGATGGAACTTGTCCAGATGTGGAACACTAGAGAGTTATGGGCAAAAATACTGAAAAGCATTGTTTCATATGAAGCTCTGCTTTGAAACGGCACCTGTTTTGCCGTCTCCTTTTGGTTTTCCCTTAATTATCACTGCAAAAATGCAGTTTCTTGCCCACTTCAGTCACAAATGGATGGGTGCAGTTTTGACCCAAACCCAAAAGCCATACTGTGTATGCTTAACGCTTTGCTTTGTGACCAGATGGTGCAGGCATGCACACACATGCGTGTGTGAATGCACACATACACAGCATTGTTTATGCAGCCAATATAGCTCTTTGCAGCTTAGTCAAGAAGCATCAGCTCCTGAACAGTTTTGCAGCAAAGTGCCTTACTGTGCGTTAGTTGCTGAGTCGTCAAGGCATCTCTTGTCCATTAACGTCAACTAAAGTGTATCTTAAAGCATATATAAAATAAAGATGCATTAACGTAAGGCACTACAGTCTATATAATAAGACATTTGAGAGGGACACATTGATGGGGAGGAGATGTGAAAGATGGATGCCTTGTGTGGAATTGTTTGTTTTTTAATCAGAGGGTAATTTTTACAAGTTGGTTTATATCACAGAGAATTTAGTGGAGGTTTGAAAATGCCACTAATTTAAAATCATTTCTACACTAGTAGGATAAAGTTCCCTGCCATGCATAACACAAAATGGTTATTAAAGACTGCAAATCACATTCTAAACATTGAAATTGAAAGCACAAAGGGGATGGCTGCATCAGAGCCACATTTATCACTTTGGGGTACTTTTTGATTATGTTATAGGCAGAAGGTGTTTGCCCTCCATTCACTAGTCCCTCCATGTCTGGTATATGGTGCCACTGGAAAGGAGCACAGTTCTCCTTTCAAGTTTTTGGCGTGGCAGAGTTTTCAAGGGGTAGATTTTCACATCAGTTTTGCATTGGTTAC